AAAAAAGGGTGAATAAAAGAATGCTTTCATAGTGACGTAAACTTATCACAGCTTTATGTAATAAAGTTTCGCAAGTGAAAAAATCTTGAAAAATGAATTCAAAGCGCTTTCGACGTTCAGGAAAACATGTAAAAGACGAAAAATGCTTGAGCGGCACCATACCTTGTGACGGGATAATCGTAAGGAAGTTTGAGTCGATGCGGATCTGTTATCAGAACGCCAAGTTCATAGGAGCGAACCATGAACTGGCTGCTGTCTTTCTTCTAGAACGATTAAAGATGACACCGAGACAGTTCCGCAAACAATATGCTTACCTGATACTCGCCCCATGCAGCTCGGGAAAGATTTGCGCTAGTCACGAGCAGCCATTGCGGTTTACCATCCACTATTTCCGTATAAGTCTATATGAATCTATTATAGACATCTTAGGCTACTAATCACTACATACAGATAGGCATCATCAGAAATACATCATCATGTGCAAAGAGAATCACCTTCACATGAGGCATTGCCCTACTCCTGCCAGCGCTGTCGCTCTTCCACTTGCACATCACCTCATCCAGCCATGTTTGTCCCAAAGCAGTCAACTCCTCAAATAAAAGGTGACGAAAATCATAAATACAAGTTATAAAGGAGGCACTACCGGATAAGGAATGTAATCTCCAGCACGATAGCCCTCTAGAGAATTTCGTACATCCTCTACGCTCGGAAATATGAGACGAATTTTTGAGAGCTCTGAATTTGAGACATAAGAATATTTTCGGTATGCCACCAAACACACCCAGATCTCGGCTTTTGCCACCTTGCAGAGAATTTAGGAGCTGATCAAGAAGCCAAGCTTTGCCGTTGTCACCCAGCACGCCTATGGAACTACACTGAACGATAAAGAGTTGACGTGCACCTTTTTTCGGTGCAGGTCGTTCCTTAAGAAGTCGTGCAAGAGATGGATGGCCAAACTAAAATCCTCTTTTGAAAATCATAATCAGAGTGTTGTTGTAAGACTTGGTAATCCCGTTTTCCACTGACCTTGCTCATCCGAGTAGAATGGTGGTAACCAGGAACAGAAAAGACCAAGCGGTCAGTGTTTGCGCTGAAATCGCAGCTTTTTATGCGGTCTATCCAGTAATCAAGTTCTTCAAGGTGATATTCCGAAAGATAGCTATATAGATCTCCCACGAAATCGCTTTCAGTCGTTGCCCTGCAAGTACATATTCTTGCTGACTTTAAAGCTGACAGGGTAAAGCACCTGTTATCAGAGAATGGTCCTGTAGCATAGTAAAAGCATTGGGTCTTCTCACCCCAGTCAGCTGAGATACCTGTGCGTTAAAAAAGGAAGAGAAACACTTGCAAATACCTTCTGTGAGATTGGCAGTCGATACGATGATGTGCAAACCAG